CCCCAAAACCCCAAAACCCCAAAACCCCTAACCAACTTCCGCTTGTTGAACCATTCAAAAAATTATGTCTGAGAAACAAATCTGAAATAATGATACGGTGAAAACTTCAATTAGGAGCTTTGAAGCCCTGAAAAAGATGAAAGCTAGTCAGGAATAATATTTTAACAGCCTTAAAACTCTTATAGGCACTTTAGAATAAGCCCTTATCCCAAAAGCTGTATTTGAATACGCGCCTTAACCCGTCCCTCCCTCTTAACTGAGCAGTTGAAGCATTTGCGAGGAGAAAAGACTTCTTAAAACAAGTATCAGGCGATGTAAAGCTTCCTTAGACCTAAATTAAAGTTCCAAAACCTTCGAAAGACAGAGTTTCTGTATGTAATAATATTGACTATTTTCATTCGAAACAAAAATGGCTAACGACATGATTGAAATATTTCCAAGAAGAAATGAAATGATTATACTCAACCTCTGCACTAACAGACCATTCTGTCAAACTCAGTTAAAATTACTTGGAGGGGTCATACCTTGCCCTCCAGGTAATAAGAGTATGAGTTTTATCGTAGTTAACTGAACATGGAGGTGAACGCGCCAGCAAGATTTTTCTCCCAAAAATTCGTTAAATTATCGCTTGATAAAATTCCCTCTACTTCGTTGTGACTGTATAGAGAGCACGAGATTAGCTATTCATAACTCCGGTAATTAGGCCATTCGGAAATACTTTTTCCGAATAGCAAAAATTATGAAAAATTTCGAATTTTTGAAGATCTTCATAACCAGGTAGTAGGCCTAGCATATCAAGATGTCTGGACAAGTGGGTTGGCCATCCAGCCTTGCGGTATCTTCAGATAGGTTCATAAAGACCTAGAAGAGTTTGAAATATTTTGAAGTCCATCCTAAGGTTGAAACATTTCTTATGAAATGTTTTTCCAAAGTGTTTCCAGTAAGGTTACGATATCTTTCACCTTAATTTTGTTATGAAAACTTCGATCTTTCTCATTAAAAAGCAACAGAAGTTTATGAGAAGATCTCAACACCCTGAAAAGGGCATCCTAATAACTAGACTTCATTGATTTCATTATCAGAAATTCATAAAATTAGTGAAGATCTCTTCCAGATTTTCTGAAAAATTCAGCAATATTTTTAAGGAAGTATTAAGCCAATGATAACTTTTTAACGACAAAATTTCGGAGAAAGATAAGCGCTTCTTAAAGGACTCAGATTCATATTATTTAGAATTATTCAAAATCCCCAAACTTTCTTAATAATCCAGCTTCATTCCCAGAACATGCCTTTGCAGTAGTGGAACGCCGGAGAAGGTCATCGTGTTACTATAAAGACACAGAGATTCTCTCTGATACTCATTAGAAGTCGGAATGTTCACAAAGATCCATCTGAGTAAGATTGAACTCCCTCCCTTTGATAAACTTTGAGATGTGGGTCTGCTGCCTTCAAGAGTAGATCTGACTGTAATGTCGTATATAGACCGATAACGACTTCTAAACAACAAGGCACTCCTCTTGTGCGTAGATGCACTTTCTCCTGGAAGATATCTTAACAAATGTTACTCCCAACCTGAATTCGAAAATTAATGAAAAATTATTATGAATTAAGAAGTCACTACCACCAAGGTCTGACTTAAGTACTATACGCAGCTAGGAAGCTTGCTGATTGCTAGCTGGCTCTAGGAGTACGAATAAGTTTCTGTAGGCTTTCTGCTTCTTAAGAATGCCTATCTTCTTTCCACGCCCTTGCTGGGCATTACATCTCAAGGGTCTGATCCGGGACCCACTTTGCGTTTGGATACCATAAGAAAATACTGATCTACGAGGAGCTCAATTCAAGTTTTTGTCAGAATTTTCCTTGAAGCCTAAAGCAGAAGCTTTGCTTTCTAGAACAATCTGGCGGTTGTCACTCAACCTGAATTGCTTCTGGTCAGTACAACTTGCTTTGTAGTTGCCAGCAAGGTTAGCTCTGACTCTGCTGAAAGGTGTTCTTGTCATTTCGTCCATTAATTGTTTCAAAAATTAATATTTCATTTTGAAATACTATCAGCGGGGTTTTGGGGTTTTGGGGTTTTGGGGTTTTGGGG